CTGAAGTCCGCTTCTCTTCTCTTCCTCCCTCCTCTGCCCCACTTCCCTACCACAGGCCACCCAGGCCAGGTCCAGCAAGGCAGAGCCCCAGGCCAGGAGTTCCTGGGGCTGCAGAAAAGGCAGGGCGCTCTGCCCCCGGGGCGCTCCTCCACTGCAGGCCTTGAGCCACGGGCAGCCTGGCCAGGGGCTGGCATGTACCTGCGGAGCACTGCGATCTCGTTCTCCACCAGGGCCTCCTTGCCTCGAAGGGCCTTCTTGGGGATGCACTTGAGGGCGACAAGGTGTGAGGAGCCCCGCTCCTGGGCCAGCACCACCTCAGAGAAGGCGCCCCTGAGGCAGAGATGGGGAGGCCGGGAGGGGGAAAGGCAAAGGGGAGGAAAGGAGGGGGAGGGGTGGGGAAGCAGAAGATGGGGAGGTCCTCCCGGTCCCATGGCCCCCCCCGTCCCCCCCACACTCACTCATTCACTGACATACGCACACACAGCACACTCATTGACACACATTCGCCGACACACACACACTCACGAGCCGAGCTTCTCCCGGATCTCATAGACGCTGCTGATGTCTTCCGTCTGTTTCTTGAGCAGCAGCATGTCTGTGGGGGTCGGGGAGAGATGGAGGGGGGCCCCCTGGGCGAAGCCACCCTCAGTGGCAGCAGCCCTGCTGAGAAACACAGAAACCAGCCCCAGCCCGGATCCATCTCTCCCCTCCCCCACCGCCCAGGTCCGCACTCCCAGGTGGGCGACTCAGAGCGAGGCCACCGCATACACTCCTCCCCGCCCAGATATGAGGCCTTGATCTGGTGCCCCCCACCCTGGCACCCCGACGGCGATCAGCACCCAGACACCCCCTCTCTGCCTCCACACAACCGAGTCAGCCACGATCGGCCGCCTTCCAGAAGGCTCCGTGCACCCCCACCCCGTCCCCTCCGGGCCGACCCCCATCCACGGCGCCCACAGACGCGCCCCCCCCAACGCGCCCGGTCCTAGACCTGCCACCCACGGCCCAGCGCTCACAGGCACGCGCCACTCAGGCCACCAACCCTCCCGAGATGCACCTGCGACCCCCGCGCCCAGCCGCCTGCCACGGTCACGGCCACCCACGCGGCCGCCCGAGTGCAGCCCGGCCCCGGGAGCCTCCGGGCAGGAGGGACTCGGCAGCCTCGGTCTCCCACGTCCCGAGCTGCGTGGGCCGCGCCAGGCTTGACAGGTGTGCGCGGGGGGCGCGCGGGGGCTGCGGCGGCCGTGGCCCCGAATCCCACGCACCCCAGCCCGCGCGCGCCCGCGCCCGGGAGCGCCGGGTGCGGACCTGGAGCCGAAACTGCAGCGTCGCCTCGCGCAGTGGCCGCTGCGCCGAGCCCCCCGCCCGCGCCCCGCCGGACCCGCCCCCTCCGCGCGCGCCCCCGCCGGCCGCTGGCGACGGAGCATGCGGTGGCCTAGCGCTGCCTCGGCGCTGCAGGGCGCCTTGTAAGGCAATCGGCCCGTGCTGGCCGCCACCGCCTCCCTCCTCGGTCATTCATGCCAGTTCCCGCCGTCTCCAGGCCCTAGGCGGCCTGACTGGGTCGGCCCCAGGGCCTTTGCACCACCGGTGTTCTCTATCCGGAAGTCTCTTCACCCACATGTTAACATGGCTCTCTGCGTGCCTTCAAATCTCTTCCCTAGCCCCAGCCCTGCCAACCCCACTTCTGTCACCCTGGCCTGAGCACCACCCCCCATCAGCACTCAAATGGAGGACAGCAACAGCCTCCCCACTGGGCTCCTTCTGCCCTCTAACCCCACCCTTCACCCCTCCTACCCACGGTCTCTTCCCCACTGAGCAGCCAGAGCATTTTCTATATTGAGATCATTTCACCCAGCCTCCAGACCCTCCCACAGCTCTCCATGTCACCAGGAGTCGAAGCGCAAGTCCTTACAGTGGCCTAAGGGCTCTGCGTGATTGGTCCTCCTTCCCTATCATTGCCCTGGCCACTTTTCACCCACTTTCCCCCTTGCTCAACTAGCTCTAACCAACTCCAACCACGCTGGCTACCTAACTGGCCCTCAAACACACCACACATACACCTGCCCCCGGCCCTTTGCATTCACTGCCTCTCTGCCTGGAATGCTCTTCACTCAGATATCTGCTTGGCTTGCTCCCTCAGTCAAGTCTCAGCTCAAATTTCACCTCTCAAACAGGACTGCCCTGCCGTCCCAGCCCAGTCTCTAGTGCATCACCCTGCCTGCCCTGTCTTCAGAAGATCCATCATTGCAATATCACCTTCTCTGTCTTGTCTTCCTCACCAATGCATCCACTCCCAGAAAGTGTCTCTGCTGACCCAGCTCAGGGAAATGAGTGGCAGGTGACTGAATTCAATCCTTCATCCCAACAGTGAGTGGATTCTTCCCATCCAGTCCCATCTCAGTCCTGGCACTCCGCCTAGGGGGTCTGGGCCCCGCAGGGGTCCTGGGTGTCCTGGCTGCTGACAGGCACACATCCATACAGGGCCCAGGGATGGCCTGCGGAAGCTATCTCTGCAGGGGTCTGTAGGCCCTGGCATGACGCAAAGTCTTTTAAGAAGGTCCACAGGGCAGACAGAGGTTTTTCAAAATCATCTTTGCAGAACTCAGCTCCCACATGTCTCTGTCCAAAACCTGGTAAGTCTGCGAGGGCCCCTCCAGTTCCTGTTCCCACCCCCCTTTCCCAATCATCCCCCCAGTTCACTCAAGAAGCTTCCAGGGGCCCCAGCACTCGGCAGCTTGCTAATCTCTTTGAATAGGGTTTCCTAGGACCGGAACCGATGGTGAGCCCCACCTCACGTTGACCAGAAGGCCTCTTTTGTTTGCGGACACCTAGACTAGCTGACACAAACAGGAGCCCCGTCTTACTTGCTTGTCTAATAATTATGCATCAACATGTCTAACCCACTGCCAGAAGAAGTATCGTCAGAGCCCTGTGGTCGCAGGTGATAATAAGAAATGTCATTTAAATACGTCCGTGCTTCAGAGAAGTGCAGTGTCCGAGTAATGAAAGCCTGCCCACCTGGAGAAAGACGGCCCCAGGAGACGTCTCTGAGGGGCAGCAGACAAGTGGAGGCAGGAAGAAAAGGACTCACCTCCAAAGGGAACGTGGAAAGAAGAGCCAGCGTCAGACTTTGAGATGGACATGGGCATCAGGTCACCAGGGGATCTTGAGGCCACTGGCCTCAAGTGAAAGGTGGTATCACAGTTGTTGGGCTTTTAAGCAGTGGGTAGTGGTACGCCAGAAATTACACCCTTTGCAACTGTTTAAACATCTGTTGAAATACTGTAGGTGTCGACTTCGAAATGCCCTTGTGTGTGTTGAGTGGTTGGAATAAAGAGCTTGTCAAAATCCTTTCAGGGGACTCCTTATAGAAAAAAAATTTTTTTAAAGATTTTATTTATTTATTTGACAGAGAGAGACACAGCGAGAGCGGGAACACAAGCAGGGGGAGAGGGAGAGGGAGAAGCAGGCTTCCCGTGGAGCAGGGAGCCCGATGTGAGACTCGATCCCAGGACCCTGGGATCATGACCCGAGCCGAACGCAGACGCCCAACGACTGAGCCACCCTGGCGCCTCCCCTTATAGAAAAATTAACTCAAAGTTGACCATAGGCCTAAATGTACAATACCAAACTTTTAGAAGAAGACAGAAGAGAAAAATCCGTCTTAGCTTGGGCTTGGTGATGAGTGTTTAGATATAATATGGAAAGCATGGCCCATGAAAGAAAACATGAGAAATTGGACTGTATCAACATTTTAAATGTTTGCTCTGCAAACAACACTGTCAAAGAGAATGAGAAGACAAACCACAGGCTGGGGGGAAATCTTTGCAAAAGATATATCTGATAAAGGACTGGTATTCAAAATACACAAGGAACTCAGGGGCGCCTGCGTGGCTCAGTCGGTGAAGCGTCTGCCTTCGGCTCAGATCATGATCTCAGGGTCCTGGGATGGTGCCCCGTGTCTTTCAGGCTCTGTGCTCAGTGGGGAGTCTGCTTGAGATTCTCTCTCTCCCTCTCCTTCTGCCCCTCCTCTCTCTCTCTCTCTCTCTCAAATAAATAAATAAATAAATCTTTAAAAAAAAGAAAAAACCCTGTGGCCCATCCAGACAATGGAAGCGCTATGAAGCCATGAAGAAATGGATGGCTTTTTTTTTTTTTTAAGATTTTTTATTTATTTATTTGAGAGAGAGAGACACAGCGAGAGAGGGAACACAAGCAGGGGGAGTGGCAGAGGGAGAAGCAGGCTTCCCACTGAGGAGGGAGCCGCCGATGCGGGGCTCGATGCGGGGCTCGATCCCAGGACCCGATCCCAGGACCCGATCATGACCTGAGCCGAAGGCAGACGCTTAACGGCTGAGCCACCCAGGTGGCCCTGGATGACTCTTGAATACATACCGCAAACTGCTAAGTGAGAGAAGTCAGTCTGAAAACAGCTACATACTGCGTGATCCCCTTTATGTGACATTCCAGGAAAAGCCAAGCTATAGAGAGAATAAACAGATCAGTGGTTGCCCGGGGGTTGGCGGGGGGGGGTGATGTTTGACTAGGGGAAGCCCAGGAGATGTTTAGGGCCGTGAAGCAACTCTGTGCGGTGCTCTGATGGCGGAGACCCTGGATAAGTCATGACCCAGAGAAGTGTACAGAAGAAAGAGCAGAGCTTAACATCTGCAAATTTCAAAATAATCCTTTAGGAAATGGGGGGATTTCAGGAAGGAGTGCAGACTATGACAAAAGAATCTAGGTGTATTACAAATGCATGAAAGCACTTCACTGAAGGGGACCAGGGGAAAGGGGCTGGAGTAAGTCACTCGGAAATGAGTGGGGTCTGAAAGACCAAAGGCAAAGGGAGCACTGCGCTCTAGTTGACAACGTTGTTCCCCACAAGGGTAAGAGTTAATAATTCTGAAACCACTCTACATGCACACTGAAATTAAACAATTAAGTAAATGGAAGGCAGATGCTGGGAGCCAGCTTTCTCACTGTTTGAGTGGGATGATACAGACAAGCAAGGGGAGGTGCTAGAATAATCCACGTGGTAATGGATCACAGTTGGAGACATCAGTTTGAACTGATGTTTACTTTAATATACAGATGCATATGTATATATAAAATGCATATATAGAATGTATAATAGAGATGCACATACTGTATCTATCTATATGTATCAATCCGTTATAAATTACATTTAGGTATAATATAGAGGTATGTTTATAGGTATGTGTTCGTGTACACATACATTTCCTTGCTCTGTCAGTGAAGAGAGCCTAGAAGCAGTAACACCCCAGTAACAGTGAGCACACTAGGGCCAAGACCATGGTTTCTAACAGCTTTCTCCTATAAAGGGCTCCTTGGAGAAATGGCTCAGTCTAGGGCTGGGACAGGAAACATACAGGATGAGCCTGGAGCAATTTATAATGCCGGAAGGTAAGGAAGGGAAGTGTGCTCCTTGTGCTCCCTCTCACGCGCTCTCTCTCTCTCTCTCTCTTCCTCTCTCTTGCTCACACACACAGAGTGATGGGGGTATGACAAAGGAACACAGGAGCCAACTGAAAGAGCACCCAGTCGTCAAAGCTGGGACAATATGAGCAA